CATCTTCTTCTTGTTCAGATACATCTTCTGCTTATAGTATTCAGCATCCTTCCTCCTCTTTGGCATCCTGCAATCCTTCATCAGATGTCCAGTCTTCCCACAATTGAAGCACTTTGGAGCATCCTCAGCAATACCATTCTCAGACGATTCAAAAGATCGCTCTTTTCTTTTGTTGTTGCTGGTAGAGGACTTGCGGAGCCTGTTGTTTGAGGAGTTCTTCTTCTTCTTCTGCATTTGGTTGTTGAACCTTGAGGTAAGAAGGGCTATCTGCTTCTGAAAATCACGCAGCTCATCATCATCAGAATCATCCCAAAATCCGATGTCACTATCAGCACTTTCACTTTCATCAGCTATCATCTTATCTTTCTTGGAACCAGACTTTGATGGCTTGTCAAGCATTAGGGCCAGGGTGTCAGCTAGTTTGTCCACAGCTCCCTTCCCTTTGTCAGCTGTCACAGTGGCTACCACAAAGTCAGAGAAATCTTCAGCATACTGATCAAGTGTATTGTACACTGCATGGATATCCATCTCATCCAGATCCTTTGTGTGCCTTATCTGTGAGCTCAGCTTCTTCCAGTCAGCTCCAAGAGAAGATAGAAATCTCACGTTCAGTTCCATATTTGACTTGTGCACGCCAATCTTTCTCATCTCATTTATCAATTGCAGGAATCTGAGGTAGGTGTCCTCGAGCGATTCTCCAAGCTTGGCTTTGAACGAGTCGTACGCAGTGAATGTGCTAGCTTTCTTCGCCTTTACTCCGATCTCAGTGCCTTGCATGATCTTGAAGATCTCATCCCACATCTCTTTTGCTGTTGACATGCTGTCAATCTGCATGTAGATGTCGTTCGGGATGGCTTGCAGAAGATAAGTCTTAGCAATGAGATCTGCACGGAGTCTTGCTCTGTCCTCGTCATCATATTCATCTACCGTCTTTGGTCTCCATTCAATCTCCACCGGTGGGTTGTTTCCATTATCTCTCTCAACTGCTATCATCAATTGTGCAGGTCCATTTGTGATAGAGTCAAGAAGACCTGAGGATTGGTCCTTGCTCTCCAGAAAGTTCAGAAATCGGTTCTTCCATACATTGTACTCCCCTCTTCGTAGAATCGGGGGTCTTGTATCGTTTCCAATAGATAGGGCATCCATTTTAGAATTGATCGGGCTGATCAGTTGATTGAATATGTTCTGTTCTATTGTTTGAGTCTTCAGTCAGATGTCTTTGTTCTGGTTGCAAAGTGTCTAAATCGGGCAAGGTATTGAAGGATCGCTCAACTTCACTAAGATCGCTCAACTTTACTAAGATCGCTCAACTTTACAAACAATCTCTCAACTTTACAAAAAGATCGCTCAAGTTTACAAAAGATCGCTCAACTTGTAAAAAGATCGCTCAAGTTGCTAAAAGATCGCTCAAGTGTAAGATTGCTCAACTACAAATCTCTCAACCTGTAAAAAGATCGCTCAACACTAAATAAAAGATCTCTCAACTCAACAAACAATCTCTCAACTCAACAAACAATCTCTCAACTTTACAAAAAAATCTCTCAACTTGTAAAAATATCGCTCAACTCCAGAAAATCTCTCAAGTCCAGAATGGCGCAACTTAAGAATAGCGCAGGTTCAAATCGCGCAAGTGAGTTAGCGCGAAGTTGAAATCGCGCAGGGTAAGTTGCGCGAAGCTGAAAATCGCGCAGGAGGCTTCTGAAGATGGCGCAAGTCCAGATCGCGCAGGGAGTGTTGCGTGAAGCTGAAAATCGCGCAGTAGTCACTTTGCTCGAACCTGTTCTTCGTTCCAGCGAGTTGCGCTAAACTGCAGGATCGCTCAAATCTGGCTTAACCTGTACGCCAAATTTCAGATCGAGATATTTCACAGAAATGATCCTTTCAAGCTTAGAAACACTTTCCTTCAACCATTTTCCTGCAAAAACAACAATAAAAATAGAACAGAAGATCGCTCAAGTGCAAATCTTCAACGATGAAGAATCGCGCAGGAGGATTTTCCAGCCTTCAATCGATCGATCAGCTCCCGCTCTGATACCAGATGTTAGGTCCCTGTTTTCTAGTCTAGAATATGTATGTATGGAAGATAGATCTGGGAATGAAGCTTTCCATTGAATGATGAAGAAGTTTACAGAATGATATGAAAGTTAGCGTAAAACTTCTATCACCGATATAGGCACTGCGGCACAGAGAATGTCGAAAAGCTTAACCTAGCCTTTCCCTTAAGGCATATATATAGCCTGACGGGAAAGGTAGGTTTTACAATCATTTGGGCTCCTTTTTCTAGGAGGCCCATACCTAAAAAGGTATAAAACCTTTTATTACAAATTGCCTTAAAAGGCCTATTCATTATTCTAGCTAGTCTATTTATTTATATAAGCTAAATACAAAGAGCTAAGAAACATTGATCACAATATAATGAAAATATCTCTAACATAATTTATAGATTTATGGTTAAATAATTTATTATTTAACATAAGCACAACTCTGAATGCGTAGATGTCAGATTTCTTTGTCTAGAACATCAGACCTCAAACCCTCAATTGCCGAAATCTGAAGAAATCCGTGCACCACTCTCTACATAAGTGTGGGCGCTCGCCCAAGCTCCTTCACCATCGGCTATGTGGAGGGTGAAAACATCGCCGCTCCTTGGACAAAACCACTTTGGAAAGTCAAAGTAAAGAGATCCCTATCGTTTTTTATATTTTTATTTTAAAGTTTTACTATGTTATGGTTACATTAAAACTTAATTAATTTGAGAATTTTTATATCTAATTAGAAACTTTGCTAGCGTATTCGTATTTTTTTACAAGAAAAAAGAACCGGGGATTCAAACCAATCCGTCCCGTTTCAAACGGGGTGGGTAAGGTCGGATTCCTATTTTGAGACTTGGTAGACCCCAACCGAACCTACCGTTAAATGGAACCGGCGGTTATTAAAAATAAAAAATTTATCAATTACCCGGACCGACTTGAACCGTGCCCACCCCTAGTTGGTGGTGCTGAGGGTGGAAAATGGGAGTTGTATTTTTTTAAGTTCTTGATTTAATTTTTAAAATTTTTAATTTTTATTATTTTTCTATTTTTTATTTTTAATTTACACTACGTAATTATTATTTTTGTATTTTTTTATTAATTTTATTAAATATTTATGTTACTCCAAAAAGTTACATGGGTAAATATGTCCAAACACAAATAAATAGTCGTACTAGGGAATTTAAAACAATGTAATTATGTTTGTGATTTTTTACTACCGTTTACTCCTAGTTAGGTGATTTTTTTTTACTCCAGAGGGGTCTGGGGGAGGGGAGCTGGGGGGTCTGGAGTAATCAGGGCTGAAACTCACACCATTGAGTTTCAAACCCTTATGTGCCTAGCGGTTTTCGAACTCGAGACCTCCCACTAGGCACGGTAACCTCACAACCAGCTGGACTGAAATGCTTTGTTACACTACTCCCTATTACTTAAAATAATGAATCAATATTTTTTTTATTTGATTAGAAAAAATCAAATATGACTAATTAAAAAGGAGTTATGATAGTATTTGTTATACGTTTATGTAGGAGTCGATTTGTTCACCCTCTCTAAAGGGTTCACCCATTTCACAAGAACGGTGAACATCACCCCGGCCCCTCCCTCCCTCCATTGCATGTAATTTGGTACAGAGTATTACAGTTCTTTTCCCCCCTTAAAATTATGATACTACCTCCGTCCCATATTTATCTTCATAGTTCGGTTTACGATGCTTGACTGACGATAAAGCAACTCGATCCCTGTTCACACTCGGAATATTTTTAGTAAATAAAATTTACATATTCAGAAACTACATTAAAACCGCTACAAAGCCTGATCAAGAAAATTTAAGTTTGATAAAAATTTGATATATAAAGTAAAAGATTAAGAGTAATTTGAGTTGACCATGTGAATAGTAACTATGAAGATAATTTTGGGACGGAGGGAGTAACTTTTTTATATTTACTCTAATTTTCAAAAAACAAATATATCAAATTTAACAACTTGTTCCGATGATCTTTCCAATTGTATCAATATTGCTTATGAAATTAAAATCGTTGTAAAATTAAAATGAATTAAGATGTTTTTACTTGGACTGAAATTTGTTGGTCTGGTCGGATCTGTTTAAATCTAGTTTGGTCTGATCTGAACTGGTCTGGTAAATGTTTGGTCTTTATGTATTTTATAACTATTTAAGTTTGGTCTAATTTGATTTGGTCTGATCTGTATAAGTTTGATTTGATCTACTTTGATCTTTTTAAGTCTGATATGAAACCGAAAGCAGGCCAAGTAAAAACATGCTTACTAAGGCAGCCAATTAAATCGGGTGGGGTGTTGTTCATCCTGTTTTTGTGGGGCAAAAAAAAAATTATTTCCCGGGTTTAATGCACCAAGCTCTCATGTGATATGGAAATTCGTCGCCTTAGCCCCTTGTGATTTAAAAAACGCATCAAACCCCCTTGTGTTTTAATTGATTATGCGCCAAATCCCTTCTGTGAACAAATTCATTGCCAAATAAAAGAAAAATGATTAACATTTTTGTGTGTTACAGAGATTTTGACATATTTACTTGCATATTCAATCGAAATATTAGAAAAAAATATTTTCAAATCTTTAAATTTGTTCATAAAAGGGTTTCTGTGCATGATTAATTAAAACACAAGGGGATTTGACACATTTTTCAAATCACATGAGCTAATGCGCTGACTTTCTATATCATGAGGGGTATGGTGCATTAAACCCATTATTTTTCCTATGTAAAATAGTCAAACTATGAGAAAATGGTCAGATTGGTCCTCAAAGTTGCATAAAAGGAGTCAAATAAGTCCTTATATAGGAGGTTCTGTCTGGCCGTCGCCATTTGGGGGTTCCCGGTGGAATGTTTTGAAGAAATTTTTTGAGCATCTCATTCATTAAGTCTAATTTACTCATACCAAATTTCAGTTAAAACTTCAATTGGAAAGACATTCAAATGAATAGTTGAAGATAACTGCGCACTTAAAAACTCAAATTTATTAAAAAAAAACCTCCTCCTAATTACACATTATCCCCAAATTTAACAAAGAGGCAATGGCTTCTCCTGGTAGCAATGTGAAGAAAGCCGTGGTAGCTTTCTTATCACCGCTTCCCTCAATCCTCTTCTACCACTCTTTCCTCCGGCACCATTACAGTGAAGAAGAATCAACTCTCTGGGAATGGTGCTATCATCACCCTCTCCTTCTTGCCCACATTTGCTTCTTCTTGAATGTCAACCTCCTCTTCTGGATCATCGCTCTTTTCCAATCCAGCCACTGGGTAATTTCAAAATCGAAAATTTCTGACGAATTTCCTTCCTCGGACGATTTTTAACATTCTTTGTCGATTACGGTTTTGGCTGAAATGGTATGCAGATGATTGATTTGTACTGGACGGTGATTCCTGTGTTGCTGGTGCACTACTACCGGAGCCACCCGTCGGGAGACTACAACGCTTGGAGGTCCCTGGTGGTTGTGTTGCTGACGTGGGTATGGAGTATAAGGCTGACCCACAGCTACTTCCGCCGCGAGAACTGGCAGTGGGGCGCCAGGGAGGATTGGAGATTCACTGATATGAGCCGCAAGTACGGCAAGAATTGGTGGTGGATGTCCTTCTTTGCTGTTTACTTATCTCAGCAGGTAAAGCTTTTTTGTAGCCGTCTAACTGTTCGCTGAATTGCCTCTGAAATTTTGGAAGTTGCGGAGACATAGACCAGGTCAATGAGGAGCTACATATGGCCCTGGTTGGTAAACTACTGATCATAGTCCCAGGACAGGGAAGTAATTTGGCCATTAAACTTGAATAACAGACTCATATGACCATATCTATGAAATTCGATTATAAGAGAGATCCTTATCAATGGCTAAGTTGCTATTAGGATAGATTTGTTGATGACATCTATTAATCAACTGTGATTATGTGTTGATGAGGTATGTATAACAAATTTAGGTTTAATGCTCCAAACACACACAAACACAAACACTGAAACACACGCACATATTTGGGCATTAATCCATATCTTTGAGGTCTAATACTAATATTATTAGTGATATTACCCAAAATAGGACTAAAAGAGTTAGAAAATTCCAAAATAGGACTGCCATGTTTTTATTCCCAAAACAGGACTAATTACTGACATGTTTTGGCAGTACCAGACTTCAAACATGACAGTATTTTCGAAACTTGGCAATAATCACTCCTATTTTGGGAATAAAAACATGTCAGTCCTATTTTGGAATTTTCAAACTCTTTTAGTCCTATTTCGGGAACTTTCCCTTTTTTATACGGAGTAGTATTTAAGTCTCTTTTCAAATTTATGTGCAATTTTAATAGTAAAAATAAGATACGTGTTTCCCCAACCATTAAATATTTCATTCCAAGGTATTACTTACATGCAGGGTAGTCAAAAGCGCGCGCCTGAGCGCTTAAGCGCACCAGGCGAGGCGCATATGAGAGTCAGCGACTGTTAGAGTCCCAGGCGCAGCCAACTGAGTGAAGCGCAAGTGAGGCGCAATAAGCGCAGAAGCGGTGAAGGCCTTAAGCGCAAAAAAGCGCACGCTTCAGTCGCCTGGCCTGGGAAAGGAGTAGCAGCCTATTTATTTGTTTGGTCCTACTTTAAATAACAAGCCCATACTTATAATAAGATTTAGCCCATTCAAATAACAGGTCAAAATAACTTAAACCCATGTTAAGCCCTTCTAACTTCTAAGTCACGGTAAAATAACTTCTATAGCGTGACTTCATCGTTACTTCTGCTATGCTCTACTCGTGCAACTAGTTCAGCGCTGAAACAACATTCAATGATCAACCCACAGAAGTCAGAAACCCATAAGGTGTCTTTCTTTTCATCATCTTCCCATGTTCTCTCATTTTTCTTTTTCAGATTATAGTTTTCATTTATTTTGTCATCTTCATTGATCCTTTCTTTTTTATTCTTTCAGTCTATCTTCATCCTTTACTTCTATAGTAACATAGTTCTCTTTTATTCTTATATATTTTATACAACTCAAACATATTATATTTCTCTTTGCTTCTTATATATTCTATAATTTATAGTTCTCTTTGCTTCTTATATATTCTACACTTTATAGCTCTCTTTGCTTCTTATATCTTCTATACTTTATATGCAGTCTATAACTATATATATCTTCTTATTATCAGTTCATATTATAATTTTATTAAACTTCATATAATCTAACTTAATTAATAGTTTCATACACTACACAATTTATGCTACCCCAATCCTCAAACCTCAAAACCAGCTATTGAGAGACACGACTTTTTAATGCATTTAGTTCAATATGATGTTGAATATGTCATATTTGATCACTCTAGAATAGTATACATAATATTTTCTACATAGTGCGCTTGACATGAGTCAAACGAGCGCTTTTTTGCGCCTTGCGCCTCAGGCGATATAAATACTCTAGCGCCTTGAGTGCGCCTCACGACTTTGACTACCTTGCTTACATGATTAATTATAGGCTAGCACAAACGAGTCAGACACATTTTTTTGTCACGATGATCATGGACTATTCTGTTGAAAATTTATGTATCAGATGGAGGTTTGATGCATTAAACCCTAAATTTCATTATGGGAAAAGTGTCAAACAGGCCCCTCTACTAATACGAAAAAGTCAATTAAGCCCCCGAACTTAAAAAACATCCAATTAAGCCCACGAACTAAATATAACGAGGCAAAACAGTCCTTTTAGCAGGATATTAACCGTTCTCAGTTAAGTTGCATGTGTGGCAAATGATGTGGCATGCTTTTACATTTTCTTTTTCTCTTTTTCTCTTTCTTTCCTTTTTTCCTTATCTCTTTTTAACCGCTTAATTACCTGCTAAAAGGACTGTTTTGCCTCGTTTTTTATAGTTTGTGGGCTTAATTGAGTGTTTTTTGAGTTCAGGGGCTTAATTGACTTTTTTGTATTAGTAGGGGGGGCTATTTGACAGTTTTTCCTTTCATTATTATTAGTGTTGAGTATCCCACGTATATCTATATCATTTATTGTTCATTAGGTTTATGTCTATTACATAAAATGTCATGTGAGGATTCTCTTGAGAGGAGTTATTCTCAACTTATTTTGGTATCAAATACTGGTCTAGTGGTGGTTTATTGGTGCCCATCCACGCGGTAGTTTGGAGCAATCTGTCTAGGGGCCAGCTTGGGCATATTTGTAAACCCTCTCATTTGTGCACCACTTGATGGATAGTATATAAGTGAGGTAACTTGAATAGATTTTTCAAGGATGAATTATATCCAATTTAGGATTGAGTAGTGGGTATCTGAGTATCCGACTAGTAGTTTGTCAAAGGTGGATGTGTTAATTCTCATGCCGATGAGTTCGGGGTTGGGTGATGGATTTAGGGTCCAAGGTCTCCCACCCAACCCACTCCATTCTCATCCTTCTTGACTATTAGTAACCCACAAATATTTTGGAGTTTAAAATTTCAAATGGGTACAAGGTTTTGTTACCAACTTTAAATGATTCCTACTTATGAGTTGTGAACTTTGTGGCGTATATGTAATTTTAACCATTCAGGTCTTTATAATGGGAATATGCATGCCCATGTACATTGTACACTCGGAGAACAAGCCGTGGAACATGTGGGACTTTGTTGCCATATCCATTTGTTCGTCTGGCATCACAATTGCATATTATGCAGATACACAACTCCACAATTTCGCCAGCAGAAACAAAAGTTTGAATGAGCAAAAGGTTCCAAATCTCCTTCTCGATACAGGTCTGTGGCGGTACTCCCGCCATCCAAACTACTTTGGTGAGCAGCTATGGTGGTGGGGACTCGCCATATTCGCATGGCGTATGGGTGGTGTTTGGGTTTTTCTTGGCCCTCTCATAAACAGCTTGTGCTTGGCATATGTCACTATTCTCGTAGAGAAACGAATGATTAAACAGGCTCACAGAGCTGAAGCTTATAGACTCTACCAGAAGACAACTTCAGTTTGGATTCCATGGTTTAAGAAGTCATCATCCACCAGCGTAAAAGATAAGAACTCTTAATACACTGAACCTGCACTTTTATTTGTTGTACTTTTTTTTACTCATATTGGGATTTTACTGACAGAACCCCAATACTGAAGAAAGACTTCTTCAAATTGTAATGAGAACGGAGATTGGAATTGATGAGCTCAATGTACAATTTGGTACCAGCGTCATTACATATAAATACGGAGTATAACATTTGACCTTTTATGGTTTTATTTGAATAGCAGTTTTCGAAAGACACTTGCACTGAGGCTGCTTACGCCTTGAGATAAGCCATGATGCAGCGGAGGGTTTATCTTTCGTGTAACCAATAAGCTCACGCATCACTATGGTGAGGCATGGTTTCAGGCTTATGATGTTTTTTAATTGGACTGATTTCATTCCTAGATTAGATTTGATCACCTAACTTAAATACTCTAGATCAGATCATCAGACCAAATTAGAACATATTTGGACAATAGTAAAACTCTTAAAAGATACGGAGTACATGTATAAAACTAGATGAGTTGGTCCACGGGTTGTTGAAGGTGGGATTGGGACCGAAATCTTGGTTTACTGATATTGGTTCGGTTTCGGTTCCCATGGTTCAATTCAATTTTTTTTTTATATTACAAGTATTAGATTGCAATAAAAAAGTCATGAAACATTATTATTTGAATCATAAAGATGTTGCAAATGTATTAAAAATCAAAGGTTGTTTTCACTTGGATTGATTTCAATATCATAGTAGACCACATTTATATAGATTAGACTAGAATAGTGTTGAAGTTTATTCCCCTCGGGCCAATTGCCCAACACCTTCCCATGAGTTTTCGTTGGAGTTTTATGGATCAATTATATTTTAGTGGGCTAGCTAAGTGATTATGAAGCACAAACAATATCAAGAAGAGAAGGAGAGGTAAAATGGGCCAAAGTTCTATAAATACGTTAGAGTGATTACAACACACTTTTACCAAGCCTGAGCCATGAACCTCTATTCTAAGTCAGGAGATAAGCTATTGCTATTGAGTACAAGTTGTCAAACATTTACAATGAAATAAATATTACTCTCTCTCCGTCCCACTAAGATTGTCATATTGTACCTTTTCGGGAAATTTCACTAAGATTGTCTCATACCAAATTTTGTAAAATTGTGTGGCTCTAATTTATTTTTACTTTATTCTTACTTTATTAATATAATATCAATCACATAAACTTCCCTTTCTTATTAACAGTGTCACTCCTTGTCCCAATGTTAGTGGGATATAGGTAGTATTATTTATACTACCATAGTGGTAGTGACGTGGCGAGCTCCGAGTGGTTAACCACCCAATCATAAATCTTCCATATCTGGTGCATTAAATGTGCTTTCCGCTAAATCCATCCCTTTTTAGACAATTATAATGGGGTAGCGGTCCAGAGCTTATCCCCGACAATCTGGTGTTTATACAAGGATACTGTACCGCGCGGCATGCACTGCGTTTATATAAATCCTTGGCCCTTTGCGAGCCTTCCGGATTTGTTGATCCACTGGGGTATTGGGCCTGCCTTGGACTGGGCCATTTACCCCAACATCTTGATTAAGCATAACTAAATTTGACTCGACCATAGTACCTTACATCTAACAAACACAAATGATTTGTTTTCGTTTTTAAGCAGTGTAATATTTTAGATAAGAAACCTCTTATAGATAGTGGAGATGAAAGTTCTCATTTATAAATGGGAAAATAAATTTAAATAATGTCAACTATTACCCATAACCCATAATAATACATACTTTGAAAATGATTTTTAATAATATCAACTATTTGAGTATAATTGTATAAACCAAAAATAATATGAAGTCACTTTTCAATCAGAAATCCAGTCATTTAAGACATTAAAAACCAATAGCAAATTATCAAATAAATTATATTTGGAAATACATTCACTTATTTGATATTTTGATACTAGTTTTTGACATTCACTTTCGGTCTATATTTAAATAGTTGGGATTATTAAAAGTCATTTCCAAAGTACGTATTATTCTTGATTGATGAAAGATAGTTGGTATTATTTAAAGTTATTTTCCCTTTATAAATTGTTTCCTAGGTCTTCACTACGAGTTTGCTCCTATATATATATATATATATATATATATATATATATATATATATATATATATATATATATATATATATATATATATATATATATATATATATATATATATAGAAATGCTCAGGTCCCTCCGGAGGGACGGGAGGGACCGTCCGAACTTCACTGTTTGGGGCGGTTCCCGATGGAATTTTTCGATGAATTTTTTTTAGCATGTTCCTCGTCAAGTCTAGTTTGTCCATATCAAATTTCAGCTCAAAATTCAACCGGAAAGACAGACAAATAAATTCTTGAAACTTACTGCACATTCTGCGCATATATAAAGTGCAGTAAGTTTCAAGAATTTATTTGACTGCCTTCTCGGTCGAATTTTGAGCTGAAATTTGGTATGGACAAACTAGACTTGATGAGGAACATGCTCAAAAAATTTCATCGAAAAATTCCACCGGGAACCGCCCCAAACAGTGAAGTTCGGACGGCTGCTCCCATCCCTCCGACTGGACCTGAGCAGTCCTCTCTATATATATATATATATAGAATTAGGTTCAAATGAGAAAGTGATCCTAGGGAGGAAGCAAGAAAGTTAAGAGGGCAGAAGAAAGAAAGGAAGGAGAATGAGGAGGAACAAAGGAAAAAAGGAAAATAAAAAAAGAATGCCACAACCAGATGTCACAAATGTCTTTTAACTGGGAATCAGAATAGTACCGGGACTACCGACTAAAAAGACAATTTGCTTAGTTTTTTATAGTTTAGGTGTTTAATTGAGTGTTTTCTTAGTTCAGGGGCTTAATTGGTTGTTTTTAAAAGTAAGGGGCTTATTTGATAGTTTTCTAAAAATATTAAGAAAAGTAGGTTTGTGTGGTTGATATTAAATTGATAAAGTAAAAATAAAATTAGAATGATTTAGAGCCACACAATCTTTACCAAATATGGTATGACACGATTATTAAGAAAAGTAGGTTTGTGTGGTTGATATTAAATTGATAAAGTAAAAATAAAGTTAGAATGATTTAGAGCCACACAATATTTACCAAATATGGTATAGGACAATCTTAGTGGGACTTCCCGAAAAGGTAAAATGAGACAATTTTAGCGGGACGGAGGGAATATATGAAATGGTTCCAGTAAAAAAAGTCATATGAAATCTTGATTGAGATATGCTTTTTCAGTTTGGGGCGACTTCTTTGAGCTCACTAAGGAGGTGTTTACTTCACTGCTAAAGTCACAGTTAGGTTAGTAAGACAGGTGAAGTAAACACGCACACTGCTTAAAAAGCCGCTTACTAACCGAAAGAGGTGCTTAAAGTGCCGCTTATTAAGCATACCACCCCCCCATGTATTAATTAAGCGGCACTTTAAGCTTTTTCAGTTTCCGAATTTACCCCTTGCCCTTAACCTACTGTTATCCCTGCCCCACCTCGACCCCAACCCCACCTACCCCGACCCCACCCTACCCTTACCCACCCTACCCCCGAACCCACCCCACCTACCCTACCCCACCCCGACCCCACCCTACCCTTACCCCACCCTACCCCCGAACCCACCCCACCCTACCCTTACCCCGACCCCACCCCTACCCTTACCCCACCTACCCCGACCCCACCCCACACCCCACCCCGACCCCACCCCCTACCTACCTAACCGACCCCCACCCTACCCTTACCCCACCTACACTACACTTACCCCGACCCCACCCCTACCCTTACCCCACCAACCCTACCTTACCTGTCCGACCCCACCCTACACGTACCCCACCTTACCCCTACCCTACCCCATTACCAGACACCCCCTACCCTACCTAACCGACCCCCACCCTACCTTACCCCACCCCTACCCTTACCCCACCTACCCTACCCCCACCCTGACCCAACCCAACCCTACCCCATCCTACCCCTACCCGACCCCACCCTACCACTACCCTACCTACCCAATCCCACCCCTACCCTACTTACCCGACCACACACCTACCCTTACCCTACCTACCCTACCCACCCCTTACCCACATACCCGACCCTACCCCTACCCTACCCCGCCTCAACCCCCACCCTACCTACCCGAACCCACCCTACCACTACCCTACCTACCCAACCCCACCCCTACCCTACCTACCCGACCCACCCTACCACTACCTGACCTCAATCACCCCACCCTATACCCCTTACCCCACCCCTTACCCCACTATACCTAGGGTGGTGGGGTCAGGGTGGGCCGATGTGATAGAGGCGCTAGGGGCAGGGTAGGTGTGGTGGGGTAGGGGTAGGGGGGTAGGGTAGGGTAGGGGTAGGGGCGGGGTTGGGGTAAGGTAGGGTAAGGTGGGGTCGATGTGGTAAGGGCCTATGGGGGTAGGGTTGCGGTAGGGTGGGGACAGGTTAGGGTGGGGTCGGGTAGGGGTAGGGTCTGGTAGGTAGGGTGGGGTCAGGTAGGTAGGGTAGGGGTAGGGGGTAGGGGTAGGCGGTGGGTGGGGTCGGGGTAAGGTAGGGTGGGTAAGGGGTTAGGGGTATGGGTACACATATTATATTATATACTTGTGTTCATGAATGTTTGTGTGTATATATATGTATAGCGTTATTTTGGACATTTTAATGTTAAGCGGTGTTTTAAACCGTTTGAAGTAAACACGGTCTTACAACATTGTTTATTTTATGCGCCGCTTATTAACACGGGTCTTAATAAGCACCGTTTAATAACCGGTGAAGTAAACGTGTCCTAAGTTTTCTAGTTTTTATACATAGATGACACAGGCGACGAATTTTACCGGGTGAAGATGGGACCTCATTTATAAAAAGATGCTTTTATACGTAGTATATTTTTAACCCTTCAAATCACTAATATTAATGATAACTAGAAAAATACGACGTCCAAGACTTTCTCCCAAACTCCAGTGCTTATAATAAGTATTGAACACATAAATTTAAAAAAGTACTGTTTGAAGAAAATGAAACTTTGGCAATGTAAAGATGGTATACATTTCAAAAGATGCTGCACTATTTTACCGTATTTACTTAAATTTTGAGGTATCAATTTTCCACTCTTGGTCTCAACTAGAAAGTTAACCAGTGAAGCGAATTACCTTAAGTCAACGGAAAATGCAAGAGTATGGAATGAAAAAGAAAGAGATAAAAAATTGGAACTAAGAAATTACAATACAGAACCTCTATAAAGATATATCTAGGCTTACTTTCCCGTTAGTCCATACAGACACCAATATTTGAAGACCATACAACCCTATTACATGAAATACACGAAAATTAAACCAACACAAAGCACTCTGAAGAGTAGCCTTTCTGATAGAAGTATTTTGAACTGTACAAGATAATTGTATTCTTGAGTAAGTGCAATAATTTCTTATGACGTCTAAAGTTAAGTCTATATCATGCATGAATCATGTAAGTTAATCGAAAAGATTAATATATGTACGAGTAATAAAATCTTGATTAAAATAGATTTAATAAAATTCGACTAATGTT